ACTGAGAAGCTACCCACAGTAATGGTTAGGAAAGTGGTCTCTGTAATAATTTCCGGGTTCAACTTCTGGCTCTGTACTTAACTGCTGTGTGACTATACACTGCTCCATTGCTTCCTCTGCCTCAGTGTCCTCCATCTGCAAAATGGGTATAATTGCAATAGTTCCTACCTCATAGAGATAAATGAGTTTAAAGAGACAAATAAGAATTGCTAAGAAGTTGAGTTAAAATGACTTCACTGGGTAACATTTTGGTGCCATTCTTTCTTTCTATGACATTCTTTCAAGCCTCCTTGAAATTTACAGCAGTTTTTCTTTCCTTCCTGCCCAAGTTGAAAGAATGTCTTATTATTTATTTATTTATTTTTTGGGTGGGAATGAGGTTTGAACTCACAGGGCTTCACATTTGCATAGAAGATGCTGTACCACTTCGCTTTGGTTATTTGGAGATGGAGTCTTGAGAGCTGTTTGCCTGGGCTGGCCTCCAGTCATGATCCTCCCAATCTCAGGCACCCAAGTAGCTAGGATTTCAGGCATGAACCACCAGTACCCAGCTCTCATTATTTTTATGCCAGTAGAAATATTTGCTATCACATGTTTGCTAGAAATACAAATTAAATGGTCACAAATTACTATTTCTACCCAAGAATTTAGATTAGTTAAGCCCAGTTGGATATTTAGTTAAATCTACAAGGGATATATTTTTATACAGAAAATACTTAAAATTTTTTTCATAGTATTGCTACAAACAAAATCAGTTATAGTAAAGAACAATTTCATTTATAGGTGAAAGTTTTAAAAACATAACCTGCTTTCTGTTAAAAACAAACTCACCACTATTTCGTGAAGATGATTTACTCCCCTCCTTTAATCTCAAATTTGGCCAGTTGCCTGCAAGTTCATTTTCTCCCCCTTTACGATGAAAGCAGTAAGTTGGGACCACAATATTCAAGGAAAATACCCTCTGAACTTGCGGTGGTCTAGAAGCCAAATCTGACTTCAACCCATGGGCAGTGTGTGTGCTGGCTGGGCCTGCAGCATTATTCTGAAGTCTGTGCTGATGTCCTGTGACTAATATGTTCCAGCTGTCTGGGTCATTGCTTTGGAGTACTATTTATTTGCAGTAGTGATGCTGCAAAGAGGAAAAGCTTTCCCTTTTGTTGGTTGAAAGCGTTCCTTGTAATTAGCAAAACAAGCATGCCTCTTATTTGGAGAGAGACTGGAAAGGCAGCTATAGAGTCAATTGTACACAACCACTTTGGAAAACAATTTGGCATCACTTGGAGGAGTTGAACATGTGCAGTCCCAAGTCCAGCTCTCCTCTCCTAGGTATATACCCTGTGGAAACTTGCCCATGTGCACATAGGGGACAAGCACTAGAGGATAAATGGCAGCATTATTCTAAAGAGCAAAAAATCCACACAACCCCAGAGAAGCCTCAGCAGTAGAATGGGGATAGAAATTGTGGGTACAAGGAGAGGTCACACAAGGAGAGTAAGCCACAGCTATGTGAGTCAACAGGGCTGACTCTCAGGATCAGCAACTGTAGGGAAGAGGCCAGTCTTGGAAGAACACATACAGTGTGGTCTCATTAATATTGGGCTTGAATTAGGCAAAGCATAACAGTTTGTTGAGAATCCATATGTGGTTAAGACCAGAAAGAGGAACAAAGGGATGGTTGACTTGTGGTAAGTCTTGGTGGTTGGGGTGGTAGAGATGAATGAGTAAGGGTGTCATCTGAAAGGACACACACAGGACTTCCCAAAATAAAAATAAACCCACATCAAACATCAACCAATTTCGCCTTTAAAATGTTTTCATTGTGAACTATATTTAAAAGAGCACTGCTGTGTTAGCCAGGCTCCAAGATGGCCCCAGTGACACCTGCCTCCCAGTGTCAAGGGCTTGCCTCATCAGTCTCCTTCCACACTGACTGGGACGACACATGGAAACACTACTGTATTGGGAGAGACTGGGATTGATTTACTTATTCTTTAAGCTGACGTTATGTTATTATATTAGTTATCATTATATAACAGATTATCTCAAGATTTTCAAATTAATAATAAACATGATCTCACATAGTTTCTCTATGTGGGTCAGGGATTTGGGAGCAGTTTGGTTCTGAGTTGGAGTTCTTTGTGAGGCTGCAGCAGTATTGACAGGACTCAAGGACCTGTTTCCAGGATGGCTTACAGGTCCTCACTGGTTATGGGGAAGAGGCCCCACTTCTTCATCATGCGTGCCTTTCTGTAGAGCTCCTTGACTATCTTCATGTCACCATAGCCAGCTTCCTAACCAAGACAGAATGAAGATCTAAGCTGCAAAGCCTCTTGACCTAGCCATTTGTCCAATACAGTAGTGTTTCCATGTGTCGTCCCAGTCAGTGTGGAAGGAGACTGATGAGGCAAGCCCTTGACACTGGGAGGCAGGTGTCACTGGGGCCATCTTGGAGCCTGGCTAACACAGCCGTGCTCTTTTAAATATAGTTCACAATGAAAACATTCTAGAGGTGAAATTGGTAAGTTCAGTTTTCTATAGTAATGATATAGTCACCCATTTAAGTGAAAATGACTGCAATTACTGACTGTGTTACCAATCAGTATGGGGCAGAAGGAATGTCAAGGACGTAAATGGAACTGAGTACCTGAGTGGCATGAGTCTACCTGTGCCTGCAGCAGGGCAGTGAGTGGGAGGGACTCATTGATACTTGTTTGTATTAGGATGTGCAGAGGTGGGCTTCTGTGTGCCTAGATGTATCCTATCTGCCCCTACATCTGGCACAAATTCGAGACTCCTGATTTGAAAGGGAATTCTCCAGAACAAGGGCTACTGTGATATTAAAATCCCTTCTAACCTCCCGCTTTCTCCCAAGTCCATGGTTAATGAGAATGGAGAATCCATTCTTCTGTTTCCACCCCCATGTCTCAGAGGGAAGTTGGAAATGACCTAGTCAAGTTAGGACAGATGCTTTAGCTTAAAGATTCATGCAGTGATCGCATTCTATTCCTAATGTATATTTGTCTTAATATTAACAACTTTAAAATTATTAATTCATTTGCTTAACCTTCCTTCACCAAAGTCTTTGAGTGAAATGCATGTTTCTGGAAGTACATCATGCATTTTTACTCTAGCTTTGTATAGCAGTGGGCTTGGTGACTATTCCTGGGGGGTCCCAAGTGCCCCAGTTTGTTTTCTTTGTGGACACTAACTTCCCTGGAACAGGTGTTCCAAACTTCAGGTGAGGAAGCCACTTGGAGAGAGTCTCTCACTTTTTAATCAAGCTATCAAGTGGAGAAGACAGGACTGGAAGCTGAGTGTAAGGGTTTGGCTTTCCTGACGCTTTTGGCTGCTGGTGCTTGTACATGTCAAGCATTGAGACCTCTAAACCTGTATGTGTGAAGTTTGTTGTTAGCTGAAGAAGGGTCCCTTTTGACCACCATTCCGAGATACTGCATTCTTCCCTCGAGGGTTTTATTTATTTACATTTTGGCGGTAAGGGGTTTGAACTCAGGGCCTCACGCTTCCTAGGCAGGTACTCTACCACTTGAGCCACTTCACCAGCCCTCCCCTATTTTGGTGCTGCTTTCACCTGTATTTGTGGAGCTATGTATGTGCCAATGTGTGGCATTGTATTTTGCATTTTATAAAAGTAAAGTCCTCAACAGCAAATAGCCTTTGGTTATGGCAAAGATAAAAGTCACCAGGGGTACAAAGTAATGCTTGCTTTTTACTTCAGTTAGCCAACAGTTCTCTTTTGAGAAAGAATTGAGAAAAATGAAGTATATATATAAAATGCCAAAAATACATTAAGGGTTATTGTGTCTACAATGTAAGTATAATTACTAGTAGTGATTATAGTAATTGGTAATAATTACAGTATTAATGGTACTATTAAGAACAATTATGCATGTATACGCTGAGGGAACAAACTGTAATACCTACCCTCATCCCTCATGTGAATGGGTTGTTTGGCTGTTTGGCTCTGGGGTTGGTTTTTAGGAGAGCATCACTGTGGGGTGGGGGTGCACATCCTATGTAGTGAGCCTGGGGTCAGAAGCTTTGAGTAGGAGTTTGCTTTCTGTTTGAATATACTTGTCATATATTATCTTTAAACTTAGATGCCTTCTCTGTAAGTTCTCTTACTTCACAGCACTGTGGGGAGGGTCAGATGTGCTGGATGAAGCCAAAGTGAAAGGTATAGTGGCAGTAGGAAAATGCTTTCAGACGGTGATGCCACCTTGCTGTGTGGCATGTAGTCGAGTGTACTGTAGACTGTATCTGAGTACCTTTGCCTGAAAGGGTTGAGGAGACTTGGCAATCTCAGTGTGGTTTTAGGAGTGCATGTGGATGCCTTATGGTCTCAGAAATCCAAGGTCAGGAAGCAAAGGTCTGAGCGTTTGAGTGATATATGGGTCTGTCACTACCCTGAAATTACTGTCAATGAAGTAAAACACATTGAGGCAAACTTTGAGCTCCAAGATGAAGACCTGATTCACAGAAGACCTGGAGTGTGGCATGGTGACTGTAGTCAGTAACAATGTACTGTGGACTCGAAATTTGCTAAGAAAGTGTATCTCAAGTTCTCAAGTGTTCTCACCACAGACAACAAGGTAATTTATGAGCAGTGGATATGTTAATTAGCTTGATTGTAGTAACCATTTCTCAACATATACATATATCAAAGGATCGCATTGCACACCCAAATGCATGCAGTTTTTGACCCTTATACCTCAATAAAGCTGGGAAAAAGAAAAAAAAAAAAAAAAGCTTACTGAGGGCTTTCTTTGTTCCAGAAGTTCCTAGAGTGAGTGGGGCTGACGGCTGTTTCCCACATAGAATATATGACATTTTTTCTCTTTTTCACTTTTCTTTGTGCTTTTTTTTTTTTAAAGTTATAGTAGCATTTTAACCTAGGGACCTGCCATATATTAAGTACATTTTATCAACTAAAATGTCATTAACTTAATAATTGCTGATGACATGTTGTTTACATCTTGCAGATGGAGGCAGCATGAACCATCCTTGAGTGTGCCTTTGAACATATTTAATCACTGGGTTTTGATCAGGGGAAGGACGACGGCCATCAACTGGAAAGGTGAGTTAAGACTTCTATGCTGCCTTTACAATCAATTATTTTTTCAAACCTACCAAAAACTTAAAAGAACGTGCAGTGAGTTCCTATGTATCCACTACCTAGATTTAACACTTGTAAGCATTTTGTCACATTTTCTGTGTTTGTACATTTTGTTTTGCTGAAACATTTGAAAATGAGTTACAGACATCATGGCTTTTTTTCCCCTAAATTTGTGGAGCTACAGCTCCTAAAAGTAATGACATTTTTCCCTCGAGAGACAGTTTGGAACATTCGTAAGCTATGTGACACAGAATCATTTAATTGAACAGTTATAATTTCTTTTATTTTTCTTCTCTTTTTCTTTTCTTTCTTGGTTTATTCTGAGACAGGGTCTCACAATGTAACCCAGACTGGTCTAGAACTCTTTGTGTAACTCAGGCTGACCTTGAACTCATGGTCCTCCTGCCCCCGTTTCAGCCTCCCCAGTGCTACTGCTGTAATATTCTCCTAAATGGTGTAACTTTGAGTTATGCCCCCTTCTTAGCTGATAGCAGTAGTCAGATTAAAGCATTTTAAGCGGAGATTTCACTAATGGACAAATGAGGAGCACAAATTGGTTTGCTGTGAGATTCACTTGGTGTGAGGGATCACTGCGCCTCCTTCATTCCCTGAGATGAGCTGTGTACCCCCACAGCTCACGTTTTATAGCTGGGTCAGAGGATCAGACTGACCTTTACCTCATGCTGATTGGCATTCGTAAGTAGTTCAGTCTCTGTGATCCTTTGTGATAAAAGTTCTTTACTGATTTTTTTTTAAAGGTCTAAACCTGGAAGAGAAGGTGGAATGTCCTGAGTAGTACTGTGGAGTGAGGTTAACAGAAAGGTGAAAATGATCCCAGCTCCATAGCATGACATTTGATGTAAAGGGAGCTATGATTGCAGTTGTAGATCTTCCCACATTGTACTCAAGTACTTGGTCAGTCATCATGGTTCTTAGAGGGTGGCTAGCTACTGTTCTGTGTCCCAGTCTCAGTTCTCATTTCTTTACGGTGTCTTCATCAAGAGTCCTCGTGTGTGTACACATTTATAGATGCTTAGGAGCTAGTCTTGCTCATTTAGAGAAGCCTTTTTGGGCAGTGGTGGTCTCTTCTATGGTGATTTCTGTTTTGAACGAAAGGTTAGTGATGGCAGTAAAGGTTTTTATAGAGATAAATTCCATATCTGAAATCATAAGTCGCTTTGCACAATCTTGGTTGCTTGTTTACTCTTTGGCTTCCAGGTGCTTATTATTAAAAAAATTTTTTTTGATGGTACTGGGGTTTGAACTCAGGGCCTCATGCTTGCTATGCAGACACTGTATCACTAGAGCTGTGCCCCCATTCCTTTTTATTGTTACTTATTTTTGGATAGGGTCTTGTACTCTCCCCAGGGTGAGCCTAGACCATGATCTTCCTATCTTTATATGGCCTCCTGCATAGGTGGGATAACAGGGGTGAACCACCTGCATCACTTATTGATTGAGATTTAGGGGAGGTGTCTTACTAACTTTTTGCCTGGGCTGGCTTTGAATGGTGATCTTCTTTATCATTGCCTGGGATTACTGAGCCTGTAGCTGGGATTATAGTGTGAGCCACCATGAGTGGTTGAATGGTTATGTTTTAAAAAGATGAGGAGGAGCAAGTGGGGCTCCACATGAAGCAAATGGAGCTTTGAAGGATGGATGAAAGGAAAGTTTATGGAGCTCAATCTGGCCTGGACCTTTTAGATATGGGATAATTTTTTAAAACTCTGAAGTTAGTGTAGGAAGGAGCAGGAAACACTCTGGAACTAATAGGTGTAGGCAAGGACTTCCTCAATAGAACCCCAGCAGCCCAGCAACTAAGAGAAAGAATGGACGAATGGGACTTCATAAAATTAAAAAGCTTCTGCACAACAAAAGAAATGGTCTCTAAACTGAAGAGACCACCCACAGAGTGGAAGAAAATATTTGCTAGCTATGCATCAGACAAAGGACCAGAATATACAGGGAACTTAAGAAACTAAACTCTCCCAAAATCAATGAACCAATTAAGAAATGGGCAACTGAACTAAATAGAACTTTCTCAAAAGAAGAAATTCAAATGGCCAAAAAACACATGAAAAAATGCTCACCATTCCTGGCCATAAAGGAAATCCAAATCAAAACCACACTAAGATTCCACCTCACCCCTGTTAGAATAGCCATCATCAAAAACACCATTAACAACAGGTGTTGGTGAGGATGTGGGAAAAAAGGAACCCTCGTACAATATTGGTGGGAATGCAAGCTGGTGCAACCACTCTGGAAAAAATTTGAAGACTTCTTAAAAATCTAAACGTAGATCTGCCATATGATCCAGTAATCCCACTCCTGGGGATATACCCGAAGAAATGCAACACAGGTTACTCCAAAGGCACCTGCACACCCATGTTTATTGCAGCACTATTCACAATAGCCAAGTTATGAAAACAGCCAAGATACCCCACTACTGGCTAATGGATCAAGAAAATGTGGTATTTATATACAATGGAATTTTACTCAGCCATGAAGAAGAATGAAATCTTATCATTTGCAGGTAAATGGATGGAACTGGAGAGCATCATTCTGAGCGAGGTTAGCCAGGCTCAGAAGACCAAAAATCATATGTTCTCCTTCATATGTGATCTTTAGATCTAGGGCAAATACAGCAATGTGATTGGACTTGGGTCACACAACAAGGGGAGAGCACATACAGGAGATACGGGGATAGGGAGAAAACTCAAAACATGAAAATATTTGATGTCCCCACTGCAGGGGAACTAACACAGAAACCTTAAAGTGACAGAGGTCAACATAAGAAGGGGATCAAGAACCAGTGTAAAGATCAATTAGAGATGAATCAACCTGGGTAGTAACACATTTGTACATGGAAGCAATGCTAGGAATCTCTCTGTATAGCTGTCCTTATCTCAACTAGAAAAAATGCTTTGGCTTTCTTATTATTGTTTATTTCTACTCTTCAATGGAATTGAAGAAAAGCGCAGAATATGTTCTGCCTGGAAGTGAAGGGGGAGGGGTGAGAGGGTTGGGTCTGGGGGCAGGGGGAAGAAATGACCCAAACAATGTACGCACATGTGAATAAATGAACAATAATAATAAAAAAACTTTATGTTGAAGTGTAACAGACCTACAGAAATACACATTTTATAAATATATATTGCAGTACAATTTCACAAACTGAACATCCCCCAGTTTAAGAAACAACTTTACTAACATCACTTCACCCATCCTTCTACACACTGCTCTGCTCTATCCAGGGAAAACTATTGCCTTGACTTCTAGCAGCCTAAATTAGTTTTGCCTATTTTTCACGTGTATGTGTGTGTAAAACACAGACTACTCTTTTGAGCCTGGCTTTTCTCAATCAGTAGTATACTAGCAAGGTTCCTCCCTGTTGTTGCATACAGGTATAGATTGTTCATTTTCATTGCTATAGAGCTTTCCAGTGTGTGAGAATAGCACCATTTATTTGTTTATTCTGCTTTTGTAGGTAATGTGGGGGGCTTACCCAGCCAGAGCAACCTTCAGCAGAAGTGGGGATTAAACTAGGTTTCCACCCTTACCTGGTTAAGTGGAGTAGTCCTAGGTTGTCCAATTTCTGCCCGTCTTCTGCTGTGATACGAAGAAGTCTTGACATCTGATTGAGTCTGTGTGGTTCCTTCAGTCCTGCAGTGACTCCTGCTGTTCCTCCTGACCCACCATGCTCCCTGCTGGCACTGGTCTTCTACACTCTTGTCTGCCATGGTGACTCTCTGCAGACCCTCCAGGGAGACTGTGCAGGACACACCAAACAACAGACAATCAATAATTAGTTACTGATGGAAAGCTGTGGCCTTGAACGTGAGGAGCCTGTGTTTTGGTTATGGGTTCACGGTGGGGTCATGGGCCACATCCTGGAAACCAGTTGTGCTGTAGAATTTAGAGCTGTAAATTTGGGGCTTACATGGACCATGATGGTAGCAGGTCTGAAATTAGCAGGGAGTAATAGGCACTGTGGAGACTGAGTATATATCCCCCAGTCAAATTTTGACCCAGTAAAACATGACTGGCTTAAATTAGCAAGTCTACTGATTTCTAATCTTTAGGGAATAGTGTGTTCATTATAAGCAATCATTCCTCATGTGGCTTTATGACCGAAATTCTGTTTCTATAAGTAAAGATTTATTCAAACACAACCATGCTCATTTGTTTATGTATTAGTCTATGTATAACAGTATAGTTGAGTTGTAGGGAAAGAGATGAGGGTTGAGTAATTGTAACAGTGGCCGTATGGTCCACAAAGCCTAAATCAATGCCATTTAGGCCTTATGAAAAGTTTGCCATCTCCCACTTTACTTCATAAAGGGAAGGACATAGTAATTGTAACCTCTGTAGTCATCCAATAACCTGAGCTCATTAAGTTATGTTAAGGTCTTCATTCATTCATTCATTTATTCATCCATCCAACAAATATTTAGAATGCTTTCTGTACTTATTTTAAGCAAAAAGTGATGAAAATCACTTAGGGTTCTTGCCCTGAAGAAATTTATGTGTTAGTAGGAGTTTGGAGTTCCATTGTAAAATTGTGTTTTCTATGAATCAAGACAAAAGTAGAGGGCTGATGGAGTACATGAAGCCATGAGTTCAAACCCCAGTACCACCACCACCACCAAGAAAAAAAAAGAGCAGAGTACAGAAATATATTACCAATTGCTCAATTTAAAGCTAACATGTCAGCTATATCAGTTTTACAAATTTGATAATTATTTTACATAATCCCATGGTTACTTTGGTTATGAGGAGCATGTTGAATGCCATACACACCACTCCTTACAGTGTTAGAGGTCCTAATTGTGACCCTGGCCTTGTCTGGAGAAGGGCTGAAAACCTTTTGAAGTGCTTATTGCAGTGAGCCAAGCAGACCTCTAATCTTATGCAACTTTAATAATAAATACTGAACCTCAACAGAAAGAACAGCAAACCAA